CCAGAATCTACCACTCCTCTTAATGCAGAAATAAAAAAGAGAAGTTCCAAATCTCGGTCTAAATCTGTTCGCATATCTGATCGAATATCTACTAATAACTCTGATGTAGTAATATCCACACTTAATGAAATCGAAAAAATAAATAGTGAGGATCTGGATGCATTATATGAAAAAGAAGTCAGAAGAGATGAGAAAAATAAAGCGAATATGAATCGTCTATTAGCTACTTAATTTATTATTGCTATCATCTCTAGAGGAGATATGTTCGAGTAGCTTTTCATAACGTATTTGCAACTTTTCACAAAGATCATTTATTTCAGCTTTAGATGCAAGGGTAGTATATAGCGATTTTTCTAACTCCTCATAGCTCATGCGTTTTTTTTAAAAGTCGAATCTAAGTTAAAACCTGCAGGAGCATACCATTCCTTCAATGGATCATTATTGCTCTCATTACTATCCGCCTCTTGTGAAATTTGATCAGATACCAAAGGCTTATTGCAAAGCAATAGGACTTCGTCCCTATCATTCTGAGATGTAGTAGCGCAATTTACTTCGAGATTATTTTTTACCTTGTGTATAGTAACTGGAATAATGTGATCCTTTCCATTAAAAGGAATTTTCAACTCATCTTTACTCCAATCTATAGCACATTTATATTTCTTGAGAAGTGGGTTTGGAAATATCAATGTTGGTTTAGGGACATGTACAACTACAAAATCTTCACGTATAGTAAAACCTGGAGGAAATGTTAATGGAAAATTACGAGCAATACCAATAGATTCTGTTAGAACTGTAGCAACCCCACTAAGATCATATTTTTCTGATTTATCAATTAGCCAATTTACACGTTTAACAATATCTTCTGATGTAATTGGGGGTTCAGCTCCACTATCTAGTACCAATGCTGGAATTTTTAAGCGTTTGATTTTAACTGGTATAGTTGCAAGGCTTGTAGTAGGTTCCTTTCTTCGAACAAAATCTATCTCCATAGGATCATTCAATGTCTCCTCTTTACCATCTGATTCAGGTATTTCTGGGGCCGGCTCTCGATAATTTATAAAGTCAGATTTTGCAGGCCCTTTAGGGGCGACTCTTCGAGTCATAGATAAATTTGGATTATTAATATTGTTTTTAATTGTTTCTATAACCTCTGGATCGTTAAACATAGCTAGAATAATTTTTTGAATTTGTGAGTCAATAATCGTACCTGATTTCTTTTGTGAAGTACGTTTTTTTGGACTAGATTTCTTCTTAGAGGATAATTTAGGTACGTAAGCATTCTTATTTCGTGAGCCAGATTTATTTACTTTTTTTTTATCTTGTTAATGTTAACATTTATACTTTCAACTTCAGATGAAGACTCCTCAGACTCGGATTCATTATCGGAGGAATCAGATTCAGAATCGCTACTGAAAGAATTATTAGTATCAGAACCAGAATTTATAGAAACCTTATTGACATTACCTTTCTTCTTAGACCTGCTTTTCTTTTTTCGAGGACACTTGCGAGAATTATGTCCAGTCCTATTACAGTTTGAGCAACGGTGTTGCGACTTCATAGCTTTTTTAACAGCTCTAGCTACATGTAATTTTAATTGCTTTTGTGTGAGGTTGGCCAGTTCTTCATCCGAATCGACTTCGTCATTTTTTAAAACATTTCCTCCATTTTTCTTAGGCAAGAAGGAAGAAAATTTATCAACTACTCCTTTAGTAATTGTATCTATTAAAGATTGTAAAGTAGATGGACCTGCTAAAGCACTAAGACGATCTGTCGCACTATCCATTCGAAGCCATTCTTGATCATTCAAGCGTAGGTTTGGGTCCCTATATATTTTACCTGGTTCCATTTGACTAGAACGTTTCAACTTGTCACCTGGCGCAGATTGAGTAGATGCCATTGTATTTCTTATTAACTCTTCGATTTCAGTTTTAGTCATCACCAATTTGTTAGTATCTACATTATGGGTTTTTCTTGTTGATACCAAATCTGAATTTGAATGCAGATAAGCTCCAGATAATTGCTCAGCCTTATATCTTTCAATCTCTTCAAGTTCTGTGAGCAATTCAGAAACGGGCCTGTTAATTCCAATGCGTCGAATTTC